AATATTAATTATACATGAGTATATTTTATTTTAATGATTAGTTCAGTTACTTTGCATAAGACTATATTTAAAATAATGTTTTTAATTTTAAAGAAGTATTTGATCGAATTGTAAAACATTTCAATACCTATACTGATATTCACCATTGCAGCTTTCATTGGGCATATTAGGACGTTTTAAGGAAAATAATCAGAATCAAGTGCAAGCCAACTGCAGATATAAGTAACTACATCAGCTTGAATAAATTATTTAGTCTAATCATCATCATGTACAATATACAACATCCTTAAAGTTTAATGTACTCTCATAAAAAGAAAAATATTAAATTAGACATTTTATCAATTTTGATATATGCCCATGTGAAAAAGTGAAAAAAAAAGAAAGAATTTTTACTCGTCAAGATAATCATCACTAACTTTCGACTTAAACGATTTGATGAATGTTACAAAGCCAGAAGAAAACAAAGACAAATGAGATTATAGTTAGAAAAATAATAAGATGAAGATATCATGAATTTAAAGCAGTAAAATACAGCTTAATGATATGAATCTATATAATAATAGGACTTTTAACTCAATAGGGTAGTCATAAATAATATTAATATGAATTAATGTAATTCGAATAATAATAATTAACACTCAGCATGAGATAAGATTACATCAAAATGATAATTATCCATGTGTAATATAACATTAGATACATGAAATCAATAAATAACAACTCATATTTTATTTTCTACTCAAATATATTTATAATCATCATCATCATGTACAATATATAACATTCTTAGAGCCTAATGTGGTATCATAAAAGAAAAATATGAAACTAGAGATTTTATTTATTTTATATATGTTTATAGGAAAGAAACAGACAAGAGGAAAAACTGAGACTATTAATTTATTTATTTTGCTATATCTAATATTATAATACAAATTGATGATTATTACTGTTATCTAACTTATTCTCGTGTTGATTGTTAATTAGTATTTGAACTACACTAATTCATATTCATAATGAATAGGTTTGTAAAATTAAGCTATAACTCATATTATTATAGATTCATCATATCAGGCTATATTTTACATCGTTATAGATTCGTAATGCTCTTGTCTAATTTTTTTCTCATTATAATCTTATCTGGCTTTTTTTCTTTGGGTCTTGTAACACCAGTCAAATCGTTTAAGTCTAAACTCATAATGGTGAGCTTGAAGGCGGAAAACTTCTTTTTTTTTGATTATTTCGTCTTTTTCTACATATAAATATACACACGTGTGTGATTCATCACCGCTTACTTTTTTCGCGTGACTGGTCTATTTTTGAAATGGACTGAAAAGCACCAAAAAGGAAATTCTCGAAAAAAGGGATACGACAAAACATTTGGATGATACAATAAGCGGCGCCTCTATTTTCGACATTTTTCCATCATACCTATTCTTCATTTTTCTCTGTTTTCGTTGTTCAATCTGCTTCATTGTTTCTATTGTTTTCTCTCATCGCTCTTCACTAAATAAGGCGACGTGAATGGAAAGAAAGATATACTGATATTTGTAGTTCGACACTGCTTTTTATTTCGCATAAAATAATTATTGTCTTCTTTTGGATTTTTAATAATTTTCTTTTGATTTTAGTATTATTGGCTCCAATTCTTCGCATGAACGATTAATTATTGTATTTATTAACTTTATTTGTTTTTGATCAATACTATATTGTCTCTTGGTATATCAACTTTCTACGTAAATTGTAATAAGCCAACGAAAATATTCTCAAGTATTATTAGAATCAACTTTATTGATGAACAAAAATGCTGTGAATGTGGTTCAGAACAAGTAAAATAAACGAATTTATAGTCATATAAACTTTCTGTTTCTTTAGAATCTGTGTATTTGCTTGGCTTGTGATTGTGTTGCGTGTAATCACCTAGAAAACGATCACATATTTCGGTATAAATTAATCTTCTCATGCTATTAAGATAAGAAATATATTTTTTAGGGTGTGGGTGTGGGTGTGTGGGTGTTGTTGAACACAATCATACACTTGCAGCCATCCCGATACACACTCACACCCACATAAGAGAGATGTCCATGGCGGCGCGGCAGCGGCAGGTTTCTTGAAAACTCATCGAGGCAGCGGCAGCATTTTTTTTCGAGGACATTGAAAAACTGCATGAATATAATAGAATTTCATTGTTTACAAATGAAACACTCCGAGACTGAATGAATCTGATGGACTACTACCAATATTTCTGGTCCAATACAGTTGCAGCAGTGAAAATCGAAACACTTTTTTGAAAACCATCGCGGCAGCGGCAAGTTTATTACTCATCGCGACGCGGTGACTTTTTTTTTATAAACCATCGCGGCGCGGCAGCGGCACAGTAACTTTTTTTTTCTAATGCCGCGGCGCGGCAGCGGCAGAGTATCAGCCGCGATGGACATCTCTGCCACACACACGCCCTCAAGCTTATACGCTTCTAGAATAGAAGAAAATTTTTCTTTCTTTGTGAATGGCAGTTGCGGTCAAGGAACTTTTGTTCTGTTAATGAATTCTAATCAAAATAGTATCGAAGCATTGAGGTTTATTGTAATACTGATGCTAATACGATAGTTTTACTCGTAATAATTTGAACTTGAAATAGTAAACGAAATTCATATGAATAGGCAAAAAAATCAGTTCTGAAAAAAGATAATGAAGACATCACTTTTGTTTAATTTGTTATATACATAAATGTCGCACTCGAAACTCAAGTATTTGAACTATGAAAACTGCTTTTACCGGTTCATTTCACTGTTTATTCCAGAATGATGACCCTCGTTCGTCAGTGTTTGCATAATGAAGTCTATTGTTTCATCAAAACTTGAACAGAATATATCTCAATACTTGAATAATTCTACTTTTTGAATTTTGTGAAAGTATTTCATATTTTTGAATTTTTAATCGTCTACATAAAAATTAAATTGAGAACAACTATTTTTTAGAAAAATACCAAAAGTTCTGTTAATCGAGAATTTTGAACTGTAATTCAAACTCGTCTCTCTATAAATTTCAGTTAGTGAAAACCAGTATCAATATCACCAATAATTCCTTAATTTATTTGAAATACTGTTGAGAGACATGCTTCTATATTAAATGAATCAAAGTCAATAGAAATCAATAGTAGGATTTTTATTAGCGAATTTAAAAAAAACAAATTTTCTTTGTCGAATAAATATTCGAATTGATGTATTAACAATAATATTTGAAAATAGTTTATCATGGACAAAAATTAGGGAGAGGTAATTTTGGTATCCATCCAACATTGATAAATGGTGCAGGATTAAGTATTAAAAATAGAGATCCTTTTTCTACAAATGGTCTAGCTACGAGTGGTGATGTAATAAGAAGAAATGTATGTGTAATTATCCATCCGACATGTTCAGGAAGTTGAAATTTCATGTTTGTTTCAATGGAACAAGCAATACCATGTAAAAAGAAAAACATAAAAGTTGGAAATAATGATGATTTTTCATCGAAAGCAACCAGCCATACATGAACATGAAAAAGACCGCTTATAATAAATGTTATCATTATTCCAATAGTCGGCGATGAAAATGCTAATCGAATTGGTTCAAAAATTGATTCTTTTAAAGTTCTATGAACAATTCGATTATATCTTCGACCCCAAAATTCTCGTAATGATGAACTAAATATTGGAAAATTGGTAAATGATTCAAGTGTATATTTATTTCGAGTTAAAATCCGAACAAAAATCATTTCAATATCAAGAATATATGGTATTGTTGTTAGAAACAAATAAAACATGAAAATTCTTTGATAACTAACTTGCATTTCACATTTAATAAGCCATCGATAAATCCAATGATTTATTAATAATTTAATTATGATTAATATTATACTATATATAATAGGCCATTGATTTTGTGCTGTTTTTTTTGGTAAAATTGGAAAATAGATCCAAAGAATTTTCAATAAAAATGATTGAAATGTTAACAATATTTTTGTTGAAAATGATGTCAAAGCAATTAAACGAATTGAGGTTAACCAACATATTACAACTGTAAATATTGCCAACGCATTAAATCGAGGAAGATTTTGACAAGTGATATAACTTAATAATATACATAAAAAACTTGTTAAAATAAATCGAACTAATTTAATCGAAATAGGACGAATTACATAATAACATGTAAGTATACATACAAACCAACTAATAAGAATAAATAAAGACAAAGCCATGTTCACAACCACTTTGATATTTTTTTTTTCTTTTTGAAACAAACTTATTCGTTAGCATATTTCTATTGCGACCTTCATCATGACGTCAATAATTCATATCACAGTTACCATTCTCTTTATTTGATCAACATTTTTTTAAAACACTGCCTGCTAAACTAACGAAGATAACAGAAAACTTTATCATGTTATTCTTACCTTCTTCACTTCAAAAAACACCTAAAGAATACTTTTATCATTTTACGACAAAAATTCGATTAAAAATCATTTAGAATAATAGTAGTCGTAGATGATATGCGTTGAAGTTCTCGTGCAAGCAATGGCAAAAGAGGGAGAATTTTCAATTTATTTATAAATGAAAAAGCAAAAAAAACCAACAGGAAAATATATCGATCAAAGGAGAGAAAAGAAAAATGTGTTTTGTATTGGAAGAAACGTATTCTTTGCCGTTCTATACCAAAATGGAATACTTTCTTTTCGTTTTACAATCATTGTTCACCTGAATAGAAAATTTTCTAAACATTTCTATTAACTATTGGAAGATTTTTCTTTCGTTCTTTCTTTTTAGAAACGGTCAGGATAGAATTCAATCCAAATTAGATTCATGCCTTTGATGTTCTCTCAAGAAATACTTAAGAACTGATTCTTCGAACTAATGAATGTATTTCAGACGATCTAACATTATTCTTGGCAAGAAAAAAAAGTGTTTTTCTGTCGATCTCCAAATTGTTGAATACTTTCTCGTGGATTAAAAATTGACTTTCGACGCTATGAGTGTAGGTTAGTGTATTGAATGATCGACAGAATTGCGATGACAATCACGCGTGATCAAAACTGTCAATGATACA